CCCCCCCCGTCCGGTAAGAGAAATTCAAAAATTCCCTGGTCAATGGTGCAGTGTGAAGACGATGTAGAGTGGAATCCAGATTACAAGGTTACAAGGTTATAAGGCCTCCAGTCAAAACGACTGACTGCTAGCCTGATCATAAAGAAAGAGAATTTCATGAAGGAAAGGAAAAAGTTTATTATCGTTTTGGTTTAGAAAATAAGACACATCATGAAAACTAACATGGTGAAATGCAGGTAGATACGGAGCAACACGAAAAGCAAGAGATGAAATGGAAAAGGGACGTCCTGAGAAGTGGGAAGCATATTTCAGCCTAAGGTTGCAAACTTCCGGATGTGTACATTTGAAAATGACATGCTGTTCATCTTGGCATCCCGAGAGTTACAAAGGTGGCAAGTCGACCAATGTCAGTATTCCAGTATGATTGTTCAACCTTCATATTATGGACTCGTAAACAAAATCGAGCGACGCTACGAATGATATGTTTTGGTAGATCAAGATAAAGATATTTGGGTAAGGTAAGAGGGAAAAAGGTTACATAAGGGTTTTTTAGAGGAAGAGCACACCAGTGATGATAAGTACATTTTTTGCTTATGTTGAGTGGAATCCAGCGCAAAACGGGATGCAAAGATGTCTCCAGAACTGTTCTGAAGCATGCGAGCGGAGTTCGAGCCTTAAGACTAACCAAGCCGGAGCAAGTTGCCAGCCTCAGTTTGTGACAACCAACCTCAGGAAGCCTCTGTGAGCCTTCTCAATCAAAAGAGGTAGCCTGCTCAGTGCATCTTGTCCTGCATGCATCCCAACCCCCCCAGGGCAGGGTGCTGACTCGCCCAAATTTCTTAAAGCACTTCCTTGCAGAGTCACAACAATGACAACATGCGTACAGTACAGCATCCCTCTCAAGCAAGCGGATTTCCAGAAAAATTTATTACCCAGGATTGTAAATGCAACGTGGGGCAATACAAAATTCCTCTTTTTAAACCTTCGAGGGTAATTAGTTTTTTTCGAGAATTACCATTACCTGGTTGTAAACAGGCCCTAAGGCTGTGTGTTTTAATTTATATTATTTGTTTTTTATTTATGTTATAATGTTCTTTATATATGTATTATAAGGCGGTGTGTTTTTTTATTTATATTGAAATGGCTGTTTTTGGTAAATATGTTCTTTATTCATATTATAATGGCTGGCCTAGTCAGGTCTGGAAAATATCGGCAGGGGATAACATTTTCAGGAATTTGGGCCCGCCGCCCACCTCTGCTTAAATTTTATGCAATTTGAACAGTTCTTGGCAGAATTTGGTTCGGCCATTTCTTTTTGACCGACTTGTATATTCTACTGTTGAACTCATTTGTTTTGATCCATCCTTTGTTATAAGTGGACTTTATATGTACTTAAAATCTTAAGAATCAGAAACAGCAATGCAAGCACCAGTACTCTTTCAAACAATACAATACAATGGGAAAATGGTGTGACATTGAAACCAAATAATGAAATGATCATGGAAATAAATCAACTTCATGATATGGAAAAAAGTGGGTTTTAATGAAAATAACATGCTCGCACCCAGGATCTAACGAGGGACACCTCAAGATCTTCAGTCTTGCGCTCTCTGTGAAACAAAAAGCAGGTGGATTCATTGAAATGGATCCCACATGTAATCAGATAAAGCTAAATGAGGTACTAAGGCAAGGCTGCCAGGCAGTTGCTCGCAGCTTCCACCATGTAAACACAGTCAATTGCGGTCAGAGAGGACGTTCACAAATAAGTTGCTCACAAACGAATGGATGTTGCACTTGAATACTCCATGCCAGCATGCTACATGTCTGTTGTACAGGCTGCCAACTGGCTCTCAAGCTGCAGCTTGACGTTGCAGGACATACGCGTGCCCTTGTTCTCTTGAGACCTGCAGGACATGTGCACTGACTATGCTCTCCGGATCGCTGTCTAGCTTGTCCTTATGCACAAGCAAGAATTCCTTGATTGTGGAGGGAGCTGGCCTGAAGACAAAGAGATCTGTTGGGACGTCGTGATTTGTGAAAGGTGGATAACGACCATTGTCTACGTATGAGAATGTGAGTTTGCACGTTCTCACAGCAAGCTCATACAGACCAACGTCATTTCCAAACCCTCCAAGAGCATCTTCATGCCCATAACCACCATTGCGTCTCTGTCGCTCACAAAGTATACAAGGTTGAGATGCCCCACGCCAACTTGAAGGTGGGGGACACCCTCGCCGCGCTCGCGCAACCTCCTTGCGTGTGTTTACGTGTGTGTGTGTGTGTGTGTGTGTGTGTGTGTGTGTGTGTGTGTGTGTGTGTGT